CAGCACACAACCCTGAAATCTAAGAAAAAGTCTGAGGAAGGCCATTAAATAGCAGCACACAACCCCGTGCCTTCCTCAGGAGTGAATATAACTACAACAACAACGACTACTACAACAACAACCCAAAAAGGTTGGTTACTGTCTATACTGTGGTCCCTACTTATCTCCCGAAGCTGGCAAATGCAAATAAGGATTAAAACCAATTAATAAAATTAAAGTAAAATATTTACAAAGTTAACAAAAAAATACTTTGTTTAACAAAATCTATAAAGAACCCTTTTATTTTTCAAAAAACCTGTGCGACAGTTATTATTTTACGCCCTGTACTTTGCCATTCATATTGTGGCAAACACTACTTAGTAAGCAAAGTTAAGTGTGATAGTGAAAAAGTATAAGCATGGCCGTAGCAAGGTAGGTGCAGGGCGCTCGGATATTAAAATCAGAAAAATATTAAAATATTTATAAGACTTAAATTTAAAAAAAATGGCCATACATTCAGGAAGAGTCTGGAATTCTCTCCTATAAGGGCGGTCATTTAAGAGGCGGTGAGCGAAGGGGGAGTGGGCGTGGCACCTCCAACCCCCACCTAGGCGCCCTATGGGTCCCAGGGACCCCTTAGAAAAATGGCCAAAAACCACAATTTTCACTTGCGTCCAGTGTAGAATTCGGTTAGGGATTATAACCCTTACTACGTAGAATCCTCCTTTCTGTGTTACCGATGAAGAGAGGAGGAACCCCTCTCTTAGTCAAAAGTGTATAACATTTCTTGTGGATTATATCCAGCTTCGATATCCAAAGTATTTTTGCACTTAACTCCTTTCTGCGTAGGCGGCCTTCGGCCGCGCTTAGGGAGCATAACCCTTACTAAGTGGAATTCTCCTTTCTGTGTTGCCTAGGAAGAGGGGCAGGCACCTCTTTGTTATCAAGAGTATATAAAAAAAATTGTGACTTTTGGTCATTTTTCTACAGGGTCCCTAGCGACCTGTAGGGGCCCTAGGTGGTTGAGAGTAACACTTTTGTCAATGGCGGTTCATGCCCTCCTAAAAAAGGTCGGAAAAGGTGCCACGTCCACTCCCCCTTCAATCTCTATCTCTTTAACAGCCAACCCTATTGGAAAGCCAACCCATATAGTTATTTATTTTTCACATTTATTGTTGCTTTGAAAAAGATTTCTAAGATATCTTTGTTTGCTTGCAATTAGTGGTAATAAGTAACAGTAGGGGCCCTAGGTGGTTGAGAGTAACACTTTTGTTAATGGCGGTTCATGCCCTCCTAAAAAAGGTCGGGTAAAGTGAGCAGAGAAGTGAGTTGCAAGTCAGCAAGCTACAAGTAAAGTGAGCAGAGAAGTGAGTTGCGAATAAGCAAGCTATAAGTTTAATTGTGTTAACAAGGTTAGTAAATTGTTGTTATTGCTTTAACAAGTATTGTAAAGTGGTTCTACTGTATTAGCGAATATTGTAAATTGTTTGTTGTACAATAAAGTTAATTGTACTACAATTTGGTCATCGTTAGCATTTATTTAACAATCCAGAGATACGAACCGAGAGATTTGGGAAATCCCTCAGTACAATACAATAAACAGTTTATCCCCCGATTCCCCGCGTAAATTGAAATTCCCACAAAAAACGGTCCATTCCCAATTCCCCATGCAAACTGAAATACCCCGCAAATTCCCCATGAGCTGGCTTCCCTGGCCAGTAGCAAAGTCTTCTCCGCCGTTGAATAAATTGGTCCGGCCATGTTTTCTAGGATATCAGCTGTGCGTAAAATGACAGATTGAAGGTTTTAACTGCGAACAATTCTAGGATTTTTTGGATAAAGGAATATATGGTGCTAATCTGATCCTGTGGTTAAAACTAAAAGAATATGATAGCGCAATAATATTCTTATTTATCTTCCGTGCCCCATTAGATGTGATCAAAGGGCGCATTTGCTTGGGTTTGCCAAATGGTAATGTGACTTAGATAGCAGCGCAAGCTAACGCATAAGGAGGCAATTCACCAAAGGGACAGTCCCGTAAGTTTTCCTTTGACCATTATATAATTACTTAAATATTTAACTTTCATTTAGTTTCTTTAGTGAATGCAGTGGCTGCTACCGTGTTATTAAGTCGTAAAATTCGAAAATATAAAATCGTTTGAAACTCTCTAAATAAGAGGTTTGCCCAAACCGCTCCCTTATGTGCAGACGAAACAGAATAAACGTAAGCAAATTATGAGAATAAGGTGACAAAGCCAATTAAGGAGTTTATATTAAAATTTGAACAAATTCATAATTGTTGTTAAACCCATATACAAGTACACCATGAATAACGATTCGAAATTGAGTGATGTCAGCAGCGAGGCTCTAGCAAGTGGTCCTCACATTTACACAAAATCCTTACTATCGGCATTTGATTGGAAAGAGTTTGCGTGTGGATGCGGAGCCGCTTTTATAAACATAGGCGTTACCTATCCGATATATAAAATGATTTTTCGCCAAATGCTTCATGGTGTGCCAATGACATCAGCCTTTGGCCAGTTACGCCACGAAGGCTTAGCATTTCTTTATCGTGGAATCTTCCCACCAATGGCACAAAAGACTATTTCTTTATCTATTATGTTTGGCGTATTTGACGGATCGCGTCGATATTTAATCAATAACTTCAATATGAATGAATATACCGTCAAAATAGTTGCTGGCATTTCATCAGGCACTGTTGAAGCGGTGCTTCTTCCCTTCGAAAGGATACAAACACTGCTGGCGCACTCCAAATACCACGAATACTTTGCTAACACTCCGCGAGCATTCAAGTAAGTTGTCACAATTAAAAATATGTAACTCGGATGTTTTCTATCAGCTTTTAGTACCAAAATTGTCATAATGGCCAATCTCATCTCCTAGTTTGTTTTTTATAACTATACCCAATTGATGCGTATAATTGTCAAAAATATTAACAATAAGTACATTTTATTCGTTAATTTTGAGCTCCCGACCGGTTATTAAATAGAACATAGATTTTGGTAGTTTTATTTATTACATTTATTGATGTCGATATTTCGCCTTCAATCTGAAGGCATCTTCAGGAATTATTGAGCTATTAAGTACATTTTGTAATATGTATAGCTACAACTAAATGCTTATAGCCACTACCAGCTAGCATTTTATTCTTCAAGTACGTTACATTTATGCACATAACATATACATAATTTGAATTTGAAACATAATACATAATTGGAATTTAGACAAAACACAAGATACAACTACACATGCATACATATATGTAAACCCACCCAGCATTTTCTGAAATTATTGATCATATACGAGTCTTTTTTGAGCCCTCTGCCCGATTAAGGGCCAGTTTTTCAGTGCACGGCCGTGGTTTAAACTAAGTTTAAACGCCCGATCTGGCTGGTTTAAACTAAGATCAGCCAATCAAATGCCAACCAGCTGTTCAATTTATACTCAGTTTACTTAATCTAAGTTTAAACTGGCACTGAAAAACTGGCCCTAAAACGGTCACAAATGTGCTCATATTCTGATCATAAAAGACTGTTCTTGACGAGTCTTTTATTGCCCACTTTTCTGATCAGTTTTGACTCTTTTGGATCATATTTATATTCAATCGTGAATCTTATTCGAATGATATTTCAGTCGTATTTCTAAATATTTTCAAGCCTCTCGAGTAATTTTTCAGTTCTATTTCCAATTATTTTCGAGCCTTTTCCGCTGCGTAAAATTAAATAAGTATTAAATTGGTTTATAACTAGCGAATCAGCATATTTTATTAAAAATCCATTATTACTGTTGAAAATATTTCAAAATTACCCTCCCGGATAAAATTAATTGGCACAGAGAACTTTTCACAATGTATTCAAACTTTTTTGTTACAATTTCTTTTCACAAATCTTTTTGGTTAAAGCATAGCTCATATTACAACGAAAACATAAAAATAAAATGTCTAATCTTTATGCAGAACTCAGAAATGAATTTGCAACGTTTAAAATAGATCTTCTAGAAAGATTTTTAGTATGCAGTTTTGTAGCCCATAAAATTTTAGTACAATAAAGGTTCCAAGGTTTAAAAAATCGCGTTGATGTTTGGCAGTGACAGTGTCTTCTATATAAAAAAAGTGGGGAACATACTATATATGGAAGACACTGTCAGAAAAAAATTGCCAAAAATGGAGTTGAAAAATAGGAAATTTTTTAATCTTCCTGAGTTTTGCGATTTTGCCGTAACACGAGTTATGTTTTTTATAAAAAATTTGCGAAGAGAAATTAGTTAAAAAACTTTTCCCGCATTGTGAAAAGTTCTTTGTGCCAATACTTTTGTCCGTATAAAAATTAAAAATATTGAATTTAAGAAATCCATTTTACGAATTGCGCGGGCTCTTCGCCGTGTGTACTTGCAATGATTGTGTTTGTTTTCGTTTTTCCAACCCGTCTTTAGCATGCCCATGCTTTTTTACCACACCGTTTATTTCTTAGGCTGTGCTTTAGATTCAAGATGGCAAATATCTACTAATACTAATACGTATTTATATTGCAATTTTCTTACACCACGCACTTCACACCACGTCACGACTCTTATTGTTAACATTTGACCAAAAATTATGCGTTAGGAGCAAAGGCAGCTGAAACAAATGATTTTTTTTAAATAGCAAAAGTAAGATCACATTTCAATCCCCAGCATGATCGATTAGTGATTGCCCTACATTTTGTTTTTTGCCCACTTTTCAAGCGTAAGGGTGAGTAATTTTCGAGTCTTTTTTTAATCGCGGAAGCTATTAATCAGTTTTTAATCATCAAAAGTGATCGAAGAACATTCAGTAATGTGATTTTTATACCCAAGACGAATGTATAGATAAATGATCAGAATGAACAAGAAATCGATTAAGCGGTGACTGTCTGTCCGTCTGTGCACACTATAGCTCGAGTAAAAATTAAGATATCTTAACGAAACTTGGCATGCTTATATCTTTTCAGCATAGGACGGATGGTGTTGAAAATGCGCAAAATCCGACGATAACCACGCCTACCTCCCATATAACGGTAGTTTTCAGAAATACGAAAATTGCGATATTTTAGTAACTACTAAAGATTATTCACCCAAAATTGATATTTGCAATTATTTTTAGACGGAAAATAGGAATATTATAAATTTTTGGAAAATGGACGTAGCCACGCCCCTTTATGATTACATGTGTATATCTTGCGAACTTCTTCACCAATTTCTCCCAAACTTGGCACAGTTGGTGGTTTTGAAAAAACATACCAAACGGCTGACAATTTAAAAAATCGGACAATAACCACGCCCACTTCCTATATAACGGTAGTTTAGAGAAATACGAAAGCTTCGATAAATCAGTAACTACTGAAGCTAATTTATTCAAAATTGATGTTTGCAATAATTCTTTAGCAAAAAATGCGCTTGTAATAAAATTTTGGAAAAAGGGTGTGACACCGCACACTTATGATCACATATGTGTATCTCGGTAACCGTTCGATCAATTTGTACCAAACTCGCTATGATTATTGTGCTTGCCACAAAAAGGCAAAACGTTTGAAAGTATTGAGATCTGATTAAAATTACGCCCACTTTTCTATAACGGTTAATTTCAGAAATGCTTGAAACTTCGATATTTCGATATTTAAGGACGCCTCTTTTACCCAAAATTGTACTAANGCGCTTGTAATAAAATTTTGGAAAAAGGGTGTGACACCGCACACTTATGATCACATATGTGTATCTCGGTAACCGTTCGATCAATTTGTACCAAACTCGCTATGATTATTGTGCTTGCCACAAAAAGGCAAAACGTTTGAAAGTATTGAGATCTGATTAAAATTACGCCCACTTTTCTATAACGGTTAATTTCAGAAATGCTTGAAACTTCGATATTTCGATATTTATTTAATGTTCGGCTACCCAAAATTGTACTAACAACAATCCCTTGAAAAGAAGTAACATTATTACGGAATTTTGAAAAAATGGGCGTGATGCCGCCCGCATATATCTATATAAGTTTATCTCATTACATCTAACTGCACATTCTATCGAAGATGTTTGAAATAGACGTAAAACCACCCCTGTTTATCACGTAGCGGTAGTTTCCGGAAAGGTGAAAAAACCATATTGAATACTTGCGCCGGGTATTTAATGTTCGGCTCCGCCCGAACTTAGACTTTTTTACTTTTTATTAAAGTAATATTCCAAACACTATGTGGGAATACATACATATAAGCATAGAAGAAATTTTTAATTTTTTTTATTTTCATTTTGTCGTAAAAAGGTCTGTTGGCCTCTTTTTCCGCTAAAATTCCTGCGACTGCTCAACATTCTACGAAGAGTAGTTCGGCGCTGGGAAAAAACTTCGCGGAACGTTATCTTGCAACTCACAACATAAGGCGTCATCTGAGGTGTTCATTTTGTTGCTTTACTGGTATATGGCATTGGTCATGATGACTATTTTGGTACTAAAAGCTGATAGAAAACATGGATTACCTCGTGAGGTGGTTACCTATTTTCCCAGTGGCTATATACATACTTATGTATACATGCATATCACTGTATTCTATGATGTTTGAAATATTGTACAATTTTTGGATTTATTAGATGGATTTTTTAGAACAACACATCATAGTGCTCGTAACCCTGTTCGTTATTTACTCCAATATAAATCAATATTGACGTTCACAGCTCTTCTGCGTGTTTGGCAGAACTTCTCCTCAATTGGAGAGACTCATAGTTTTACGCCGTCTCTGAACGCTAAACGGTTCTTATGCGCTGGCTTAGGATTGAGCGTGGGATTTTGCAGCGGCTCACTTAGCCCTGCCTTAATGTTGTTGTTGTAGCAGCATACAGATTCTTTAGGGCGTGTTGCTGGAGTGACAGTCCATGGCCAGATATAAATCTGGGTCGCTCCGGTTACGCGTACCCGACTGTCGTGGGGACGAGCCCTGTCTATATCGGTGTGTCCGCTCAACCAACGGAAGGCCCATGGAGCGTTTCACTAGGACGGGGTTAAACCAGATTGGTTCTACTACTCAGTTACGGCAGCTGTCAATTGATGAACACCTATTCCAGTTACAATTATTTGGATAAAATTTTTACATAGTCTACAAATCAAAATGTTTCACTTAATGTTGTAACTGCGTAATACACTCTCGAACTTGTATACAATGTGTTAAGTATTTGTGTGATCTAGAATTCATGAATATTATGGCATCACAACTGAATCAAGTCTAATTACTTAGCACAATCAGTATTCTAAAGGTATTTTAGAAAACTTTCTAATTCTAATTACTTAGGTACTTTGCATGCCAAGAATATATACACCAGAAATTAAGTAAATCTGTACATAAAACTAACTATTACGTTTTAAAATATGGATTTACTAGCTGTGAAAGACTTTATTTCAATTGTTATAACTACTAAATATCATTCCAGCTACGTTCTGGTACATCACGGGTTTTTAGAGTTGTACAGAGGTATTGTACCCGTTCTTTGGAGAAATGGGCCATCCAATGCAATATTTTTTATGCTGCGTGAAGAAGTATCCATATTTCTGCCAGATACTGTACGAGTTTATTATCATGAAGTTTCTCTCGGTTTAATAACATTAAACCTTTTTTGTATTTAGACTTCCAAAGCAACTAAAGCGGCACAAGAATTTGTGGCAGGAGCAGTCATTGGAGCGTCAATTAGCACACTTTTTTATCCACTTAACGTGATAAAAGTTGCCATGCAAAGTGAAATGGGCCATAAACAGGAAGGAATGTGGAAGATATGCAAACGAATTTACTTTGAACGCGGAAATAGAATTAAATACTTCTACCGTGGATGTGGGTTCAACTCTTTTCGTTCATTTCTTAGTTGGGGAATCATGAATACGGCATATGAAAATTTGAAGAAAGTCATGTCGTAAGACCTGCAATTTTGTATTTCAGTAACAGTAAATAGCGCAAATACGAGTATAATGTTCAAACGACGGTGATGCATTGTAATGAAATATAACTTGAAGTTGAAGGCTCCCGGGATTTAGTACATGTAAATTTATGCATAAATATTAAAATTAAAGTGTTTCTATACTTACATGTACGGTGACCATCCGCCTTGCATTATACGGGACGCCAAATGTTCTGTATTTCTTTCACTGTTCTACATTTGTCCCGTATTCGGTGTTTCGACGCTCATTAAAATGACACGCCTACGAACGAGTTTTAAGTGATGTTGGTATATGATCGTAATTTTCTCCATAAACAGTTATTATTTTCTAATCTGGATGCCCGTGTTTCGATTCGAGGAATACATACAGTGACCAAAATATAAATTAGGACTCGGCATTTTAGCAAGGTTTGGCCATTTTTCCTTAGTTTATTTAATGTTTATTGTTTTTTATAAAGTAAAGCCCTTTTCGTAACAAAAACCATATAATACTGTTTAGGCGCTACTGCTAACACAAGGTGCCTGAATTCATGCTATGTACTGCCTCATGTACTAAAATTTCCTTCATAAAATTCATGATTTTCGCACTCGCACTTCTCAACTGCCATGTAATAAAACTTTCTTAAGTTATAATTTGATGACAGTTCAAAGCATGCTCGGCCTAGTCTGCTGCAAATACCAGATTTCCAACTTTGTGCAAAAAACTATAAAAATTAATTCTGCAATATTTCACCAAAATTTCAAACTCTTTAATTAGAATCTTTAGAAAAAAATCGGTTTGCAGTTTTGTAATTCCTTAAAATTGAGTATAATAATGTGCCGCTCACTTGCTTCTCTTTTAGAAAAATGGTTGAACGTACTTTGTATGAAAAATATGCGCAACATCGTCAACAAAAAAAAAATCAAAAATTTAATGTATGTAAGTCTTATCGACTTTAAAATTGCGCTTTAGTATACTAAAATTTGAGGTTTTTTTGAAACAAATTTTGCGTGGTAAAAATCTCGAGAAAAATTGCTTACAAATTTGTGATGTTACTACAAGGATGCTGTTTCAGGGCTAATGCATCTAGGACAATTGATGATTGATCATTTAAAGACCTGTAAGTTTTTGTGGAAAAAATTTACAAAATTATTTTTTGTCCCATATTCGGCTCCCATAAATATGGTCACCGTACTTATTTATATGTACTGTCCTACTTGCGCTTATAATCAAATTAAAGCCAAATTAGACTTTGTTCGAGTTTGTATATGTTCATACATACATACATATGTATATATATGGTGTTTTCCAAAACATATCAATACAAAGCTCCCACGACAGTCGGGTTTACGTAACCGGAACGACTCAGATTTATATCTTGCCTAGGACTGTCACTCCAGCAACACTCCCCAAAAACTTTTTGGAGAATTTGTATGCTGTTACAACAACAACATCATTATATTTTTTGTTTAATATTTGCAATGTTTTTCAAGTTAAATTGTTTTGTTATTGTTTTATAAATATATAGGTCATGCTTTAATCTAAACCACTTAAGTCAAACTTTCAAACTTTATACAGAACGTAGAAAAATTCAACAAAAATTCAATCTCAATTTNATTGTTATTGTTTTATAAATATATAGGTCATGCTTTAATCTAAACCACTTAAGTCAAACTTTTAAACTTTATACAGAACGTAGAAAAATTCAACAAAAATTCAATCTCAATTTTTAACCTTTTAATCTGATCTTTTAGAAAAATTTTGGGTACGCAGATATATCGTTTATGTAATACTAGTCACACAAGTGAAAGGTTTAAGCGGCTAAAAAATCGCATTGATTTTTTATGGATTTTTTTCGACGGATTTTGCGGTTTTATGCATATAAGTGAAATTTATAAAATATAGCGTAAATTTTATCAAATTTTTGGTTGCAATCTGGGCATTTTCTTATACAAGAAATTCCCTTTTATACGGTAAAAAGTGCAAAAAGCCGTCAGCAATAAACAAATAATTAAAAATGAACGCTATTTTTTAGCCGCTAAAACTTGCACTTCTTGTACTAGAATTAAAAACCGATCTATCTGCATACTCAAAATTTTTCTAAAAATTCAAACCAAAAAAGTTTAAAATTTAGAAACAAATTTGTTGATTTTTTTTTTTAGTTCTGTATGAAGTTTAAGTTTGGCTGACGTTGTTTTGATTAAAGCATGAATCATATTTTTATAAAAATTTAACTTGAAAAACGTTGCAAATATTTAAGAAAAAACACAATGCACTCACTTGATCGCCAGTGTGTATCATAAAATATAGTACACTCTTAAGTAGGCAGCAATGAAGAAATGCCAATTTGCGATTGAGTTGCGCAATAAAAGAGACTGATGCTTTGAATTGATGCGTTTTGGAAAACTTCCATCTTTATAAAATAAGAATGAGAGTTTTAAAATGTGTTATTAGAAAAATTGTTTTGTAAATTTAAGTAGAGTTGAATATTATTTATAATAATTTTTATAAACTGCCACCCCATATGGATTGCACCATAGTATTTACATATTGGCAATGTGATGACTCTAGAAGCTGAGAGAATAGTAGTGCAGATTTAAGGTTTTTTTGTTCTATAAAGCAGGACATTATTTATCTTACATTACATTATTGCAAATAGAGTTACGAGGGCNTTGTTCTATAAAGTAGGACATTATTTATCTTACATTACATTATTGCAAATAGAGTTACGAGGGCGCGTACAGATATAAAAATATAGAGGTTTCCTTTATAAAATACGTACGTACATATAAATAAAATACGCATTTAAACATTTTATTACATTGTAGCAAAACTTTCAAACGCTAAGTATGCTTTAGCATTTGTTATGCTATTTATTTTTTACCGCAAGATAGTGTATACATTAGGGCGGGTCAATTTGTATGGATTGATATTTTTCGACATTGTTCCTAGCATATTCGGATTCTTCATAAAATTCTAAGAAAAAAATTCCTCCAGACCATAGCTCTAAAGTCAATTTCGAGCCTGTGCATTTTTAAAAGAAGATATCTTATATACAAAAATGAATTGCTGTCCGTTAGCCTAGCTAAGACTCGAAAACGGCTTGACCGATTTGAATATTTTTATTTTTTTGGTTTGTTTGTTATAATATCCGGATGGTTAAAACGAAAAAAATAGAGAGTTGCCACCTGTTTAACAATTCAGTATAAGTAAATTAATGACATAAATTAGATATCGCAATATGGGTGTCAAAAGAAAGAGGTTATCAAGGCTTGCAGGCGAAAATATCTTTGAGGGGGTTTGCCACCTGTTTCAAAATTAAATTAAATTAAATTGGTAAGATAAATTAAATATTGCAATATGGGTATCAAATTAAAAAGGTTTAAGAAGGCTTACTACTGAAAATATTTTTGAGTCGAGTTGCCACCAATTTCAAAAATTTAATTCAGTAAAGTTGATAAGATAAAGTATTTATAATATAATAGGTGTCAAACGAAAAGTATCTGAAAAATTATTGATTAAGAAATATTTTCTATAGGCCTGTCACCTACCTGAGCGGTAAAAACTAAAAGCCATACTCGCAATTATTATTCAAAGCTTTTGAGGCTCGCATCAATGTAGAATACTGTAACTCCGTCAAGTTAGTGTTTATTGATGGCAAACAAAGTACTATCATGTTTGGCAATGATATCACCCCATCGAACAATGCACTCAGCCTCGATATAAAAAGAGAACAAAAGCCGAAGTAGTAGCCGAAGCAGTTCATACAAATGTTCCACAAATGAACTAACAAAAAATATGGCCTACGACTCTTTTATAGAAGCTGTGGATACTGGAGTAAATTTTAAACAAAAAAAAAACCGACTTCAATTCTCATATACAAATTTAAGAGTACCGTTATTTTCTTTATGGCCCATTATCGGATCTACATTCAGTTAGTAGGAGACTACCTCTAAGGAACCACCTTTCCTTTAAAAAAGAATTGTAGAAAACGGATAACGTAGTCCAAAGTTATCCGGTAACATACATAAAAGCATATTACGACGAATTAATAAAATATGCAGATTAATATTTAATACAGTGTTACGGCTATATTTTTTTTAATACAAACCTATGCTTGGGAGTTAATTGATACGAAAAATTAATTTGGGATATCTATTTTTTATTTAAAGAACCGCAAGATTGCACTACAAAGCAAATTACATATTTTTTACTATTGTAACGGGAGAAGTTACTGTATGTATTTTTTTATATGTACAGTGTCGAACAAAAGTTTTGGCACAGTAAATTTTCGCATTACATATATGCAAAGTTTTTAATTTATTTCCGATAATTTTTTATAAAAACATAGTTCATACTATACCAAAACACATAAAAATCAAATGTGTAAACCCTTGTGCAAAACTCAGGAAAATTCAATAAATCAGTATACTAATTGCAATTTTATATTCAGATTTTCAAGCAACTTCAAACTTGCACTTTGATAAACTAAAACTGAATGGATTACTAAACTGCATACTTGGAATTATTCTAAAAAATACTTTGCCTATATTGCGTAAAATTCACTGTGCCAATACTTTTGTTCGTTACTGTAAGTAAATGAAACTTTAACTTAAAAAACCAAAAAAACAAAAAAATTTACAATATTTCAAAATTATTTTTCGAATCTTAAGGCTGCATTTCTTTATTCATTCTGAACGTTTGGAATAAACTTTTTTGTTTATTTATTCTTTAGAACGTTCCTGATGATATGTTAACGTATATTTCAATGGCATTCTGTTTATTCTGGTTGTGAAATGGGTTTATCCGGAATGTATAAAGAAACGCAGCCTAAATTTTGTTATGATTAACAATGTATTTATATTTTTTTTTTTGGTTTTAGATCCTTTTTGCTTTCAACATACCTCGTGTTTTTTCTACTTTCTATTGTCATAGCCATAACTCCCTCTCTATTTTTACCAATCAATCAATCAATTTAATAATTTTTTTCGGCATTTTTCCTAAATACAAGTAGAGCTTTATAAAACTTGTATAACACCAAATGTTTATCAAGCTTAGGATTTTGTGTTATCCGGGCAGGCTTACTAATTAAACCAGAGAATATGTTTTCTTTATTAAGTTTACCCAGTTCCCCATTTTAAACTGCTGCCTGTACTGTATCAGCGGTTAAAACTTGTTAAATTTTTATTTAAAATTTTCGGTAAGGAATAAGCGAGTGGATGAAAAATATATAACGGTAAGAACGGCCCATATATATGTACATATATGAAAGAATACACACATGCGACGTCTCTAGCCATTGTGTGTCACTCCTTCAAATTGTAGTTATTTTTTTTTATTGTATTAAAAAAATAACGTTCGTAACACTTTAATAAATATTAA